GTTAGCCAAGCTGGTCTTGAACTCCTGACCTCAAGTGATCTACTTGCCTTGGCCTTCCAAAGTACTGGGATTACAGGCATGAGCCACCATGCCCGGCCAATAACTTTTCATATTAGAAGTAAACTTCCCCATGTGTGGCTTAGGAGAGAGTTGTTCCACTCAGGAACCATCATCTAAGTGAGTTCTCAGAAGTCTCTGTCTTTAGCTTCCTGAAGATAGAAGCGCCAGGGCCATAGGAGACAAAAGCCCATGAAAACTTCTTCAGGCCTTCTTCTGTGCTCTATCCAAGTCCATTCATAAATCTTACGTGTCTGTTGAGATGCAAGAGCCAGTTTTCAAAAAAATTGTATACATTTAGGGGGTAAAAGTGCAGTTTTGTTACGTGGATAAGTTGCATGTTGTAATATCCAGGTTTTTAGCGTAACCATCGACTGAATAATATACGTTCTATCCATTAAGTAATTCCTCATCCCTCACCATCCTCCCACCCTTCTGAATTGCCAATGTTCTGTACTAGAACCAGTTTTTTTTTTTAATCACAACATCAATAATATTTTTCCTTAAATCCTTCAGAAATTTCTTGGGAATACTTTACTTCTCTGGGAGACATTACCCAGATGATTTCATTCTACTGTTTTGTTTTGTGTTGTTTTTGTTTTTGAGACAGGGTCAGCCAGGCTAGAGTGCAGTGGTGTGATCATAGTTTACTGTAACCTTGAACTCCTGGGCTCAAGTGATCTTCCTGCCTCAGCCTCTCAAGTCGCTAGGACTATAGGCACATGCCACCACACCCAGCTAATTAAAAAAATATTTTTTTTGTAGAGACAGGATTTAGCTGTCTTGTCCAAGCTGGTCTCAAACTCCTAGTCTCAGCTAATTCTCTCACCTTGACCTCTCAAATCATCCCACTCTTTGTACCCCTGAAGAAATTTTGGGGTTACTTTTAGAAATGTTCTTAAATCTTTTCCCCTCCCTTTTTAAACTTTTTTTTTTTTTTTTTTTTGAGACGGAGTTTCGCTTTTGTTACCCAGGCTGGAGTGCAATGGCGCAATCTCAGCTCACCGCAACTTCCGCCTCCTGGGTTCAGGCAATTCTCCTGCCTCAGCCTCCTGAGTAGCTAGGATTACAGGCACGTGCCACCATGCCCAGCTAATTTTTTGTATTTTTAGTAGAGACGGGGTTTCACCATATTGACCAGAATGGTCTTGATCTCTTGACCTCGTGATCCACCCACCTCGGCCTCCCAAAGTGCTGGGATTACAGGCTTGAGCCACTGCGCCCGGCCTAAACTGTTATTTTTTTAATTCATTTATTTATTTAAAACTGATCTTTCAGAAATGATTTAATGTGGCCTATGATGGTGCAATCAAATACATCAGAAAGATCAAAACTAAAGTTGGTAGGGAAAAAGAGAAAGTAAAGAAGGGAAAGAAAAAAAGAGTAGGAGAGAAAAGGAGAAAGTGAAAAAGAAAAAAGGAAACAGATTAAAAATGAATAGTTGTCTGTAAAATTTATATGGCTCAAAAGTTATTTAGCAATTAGGAGGAAGAAAAAGAAAATTATACACTTCAAAATGTTCATGAGATAAAACCAAACCAACTAAGAGAATAAGAACTATTTTTGGTGTGAAGACAGGAATTCCCCCAGAGATTTGCTGCAATATTCTCATTCTATTACTTTTTAAAAACAGTAAACAAAGCAATGCTTCTAACCCCAGGTACTCTGGTGAGGTTTAAAAAAAGACATTTTTAGGTAGCAACTGATTCTAATTACATATTTTATTTTCTATCCTAACTTTGGAAAGAATTTATCTGAAACTGCACACAAATTATGAAATCTTCATATTCCTTACTTAGTGCTCAAGAACCTATTTTGTCCAGTGGAGATAGCCAGGTATGGGGTGTCAGAGACCAAAGAGTGTTTGGAGAGAATCCTCCTGAAGTCACTTTGTATGGGCATCAAAGCTCAAACAGGTTAAGGTAGTATCCACATGTGGTGGTGGTGGAGGAGGATGCTCCCCAGCCTGGGACATTGGAGTTTGAGCCAGGTGAAGAGTTCCTCCCAACTATCTATGGTGTATTTTTTTTTTTTTTGAGCAGAGAGAAGACAAACAGCTCTCTCTCTATACAGAGAGGGGTCTCTGAGCAGAAAAAACCAGCGATGCACCAGATTTTATAGTCAGGTTTGAGGAGGTGGTGTCTGATTTACATAGGGCTCACAGATTAGTTTGATCAGGTATGATGTTTACATAGACTATGACATTCCCTGATCGTGTCAAACAAGATTGCTTCCCTGAACTGTAAAGCTTCCTGCACATTGCATACAGAGAGGATAAAAGATACGGTGGTCACAGACAGGAAAGGAGGAAATTACAGTAGGAAAGCTGGAGATTCTGTTGCCGACCCCAGAGGCTGGAGTCAGTCCAGAAGCTTTTCGATAGTACCGGGAGCTAGTCCTGGTCAGAAATCCTCAGTTGCCTCAGGACTTCTTCCAGCCCCACCTGACCACTAAGTCCTCCGTGGAAGGAAGCTGGTTCAAATATGGCCAATTGCCCAGCAACCTGTGGGTGCTGGGGGATTCTCTATGTTTTCCCTAGTAAGCCTGTCCCTCAAGTCTTGTAAGGCTGGCAGCCACACTAATTGTTTTTAAATGGCTGAAAGGGGCCCAGTATTTGGTTTGATCTGGTTCTAAAATGGAGACCAAGAGCCTTGAAATGAAAGGACAGAGTTGGAGTCCACTTCTCTATTCATTGTTTCGATGAATGTTGTGCCTTGGTATCTCGGACAAGGTCCCCATTATGATTATGAAGTGACTATATTGTCTGGGGTATATACCCTGGGGTTCATTGTCATGCGCCAGGAAAATTTAGGACATGGACACACATGAGGAGTTTAGGAGTGGAGGTTTAATAGGCAGAAGAGAAGAGAAAGAGAAACAGCTCTCTCTATAGAGAGCAGAAAGGACCCTATGGTGTATTTTAAACTAAACAGATTGCAAGCTTCGTGTGGCAAATACTGATATTTGCTTACCCAGTATCCACTCTTTACACCTTTACTGTCAGAACCTCAATTTTTCAGTGAGACAATGTACCTAATAAAAATACTTCCTCAGACTCCCTTGAAGCCAGGATGGACATGTGATCCAGCTCTGGCAAATGGGATCTAAGCAGAAGTCTACTGCATGAGGCTTCTGGGAAAGTTGTTTTCCCAATGAAAGGGGACAGACTTAGCTGCCCTTTTGCCACTCACTTTCTCCATTCTTTCTGCCTAGAATGCAGTCACAGTACTTACGAGGTATGAGAGCTATCTTACCAGAATATAGAAAAAACTAGATGATTAGGATGGCCAAGAAAGAAGACAGAAAGAGCCCAAGACCTTTCGATCCCACTAACCCACTTTCTAACCCACTGTGGGTTGTCTCCCTCAAGAGTTTGTTACATGAGAACCAGCGTGTTACTCTTTTTTTGGTAACCACTAACAGTTCTTTTCACCCTCCTACCCCCATCCTACAGTATTCAGCTAATTTCAATAAGAGTTACTGATTTAGTGGCATTAATGTACTAGAACCCCCTCAAACATGTTCATATTTGCATTCATCCAACCAGCTTCTGCCTCAGGCAGTATTTGGCTGCCTAAGGCCAAGATGGGGCAGATATAGAAGTCTTGGTGTTGTCCACAGAGGGTTTTCTGTCATTTGGAAAAAATAAGACATAACAGAAGTAATAATTCAGTGTTTTATAGGATGAAGGGGAAGGGGAACTAACACTAGGACTGGTACTTAATTTATAGAATGCTCAAAATAATTGCAAAGCATGCATCATTCTCATTTGCAGAGGAGGAAACTAAAGACATTACATAGCTGATGAAGATCTAAACAGAAAGTATGTAGCAGAATGTAAGTCAAACTCAGGTCTGATAGTTCTCAAATTCACACTTGTTCTTTGCAACTCTGACACAACTAGCCCAAATGATCAGGGGTCAGTGGCTTCCTGGAGGACATAGAACTTGGGCCAGTCCTGAAGGATGGGCAAAATTTGAAGCTTTGAGGTGGGAGTAGAAAAAGGGATTACAGAGATGGAAAGGAACATAAGCAAAGACCAGCTGGAGATGAAATGGGTAAAGCAGAGGACTCAGTTCTTTAAACACATAGTATCTGTTGACTTACCTTCTGTGATATCCTGTGATAGTCACTGTGGGATATGCCAAGGTTAATTTTGTGAAGTACCTGGCATGTAGTTGCTGCTTAGTTTTGTTTGTTTGTTTGTTTTTGAGACAGAGCCTCATTCTGTCACCGAGGCTGGAGTGCAATAGCATGATGTAGAGACAGGATCTTGCCATGTTGCTCAGGCTGGTCTCAAACTCCTGGGCTCAAGCGATCCTCTCACCTTGGCCTCCTAAAGTGCTGGGATTACAAGTACAGGTGTGAGCCACTGTACCTGACCACTTTTCTTATACTTTAATGCCTTTAATCCCAGCACTTTGGGAGGCTGAAGCGGGTGGATCACCTGAAGTCTGGAGTTTGAGACCAGTCTGGCCAACATAATGAAACCCCATCTCTACTAAAAATACAAAAAATTAGCCAGGCGTGGAGGTGGGCGCCTGTAATCCCAGCTATTCAGGAGGCTGAGACAAGAGAATCATTTGACCTGGGGGGGCAGGGGTGGGGTATGGAGGTGGCAGTGAGCCGAGATCGTACAATTGCACTCCAGCCTGGGCAACAAGAGTGAAACTCTGACTCAAAAAAAAAAAGTGCTCTCGTTTCTCAAAGTGAAGGTACTCATCATTTGGATTACTCAGAAAGCTGACAATCTAGCTAGGGAGATTTTTAAATTATTTAAGAGTTCCAAAATAGAAAGTGTCACAAGACGATATAAGACTGGTGATAACAGCCCCAGAGGCTATGCTCTTAACTACTATGCTCTTTTACCCTGCAGTGTATAGGATGTACAGGATGAAAAGATCCCAAGTGAGGACCCTAATCAGGAGGCTCTGTAAGTAACCATGAGGTCAGTAAGTTGATGATGATGGGCGTGAAAAGGAGAGGATGGAGAAGAAAAACATTTCAACAACAGGGCTAGTTAACAGCTGCCTAGCAGAGTGGAAAAAGAACAAGCTAAAATGACCCCAAAATGTCAGTGGTATAACTAAGATAACTGCATGTCATCAATGGAAATGGAGATGCCAGGACAGGGAGACCATCTGGGAAAGAGAAATGTGATGAGTTGAGTTTAGTACATGGTGAGACAAGGAGAACGATTATTTAACTATTCAAGTGAACATATTTGGTAGAGAGTTGGCAGATTGAGGAATGGCAGTCAGATGAATGGCTGTGCTCAGTAGTGACAGTTGAAGCTGTGGTGTGAAGGTTCATGTACCTAAAGGAAAGAATATAGGGCTGCAGTGGCCCATTGAATCCTTTGTCCTCCTTGCCCTCGTCGACATCACATTCCGGTTCCTGCTTGCATTTACTTTTGGCAATGTGGTTGCAATGTATGTGGCTCAGAACTATGACATACCAAATCTAGCTAAAACAGTTGAAGAAATTAAAAAGGAATCAGATGCCAAGAAGATACCCCCTAGTTCATGAGGTCGACTCCAGCACTGCCTTCTGGATACACTGATTCCACTGCTCTTCAGGTCTTCTTTACTGTCTGAACCAAAAGCTTTTGCTTTGTCTTCAGCCTAATGATTTTTCTTCTTTGCTAGACCCTGCATTGCCTTAGAACAAAAATGGAGCTAAGAACTATCCTTCCTTTCCAACATCTTTGCCTCTTCCCATCCTCCTTTCAGCTGCTTGGGAGGTTCTAAGACTGGAATTATGGTGCTAGATTAGTAAACATGACCTTTAATTAGTAGACTCTCCCTTACTCTTCAGGATTTCTACTATAGGTTGAATATCCCTGGTCCAAAAATCTAAAATCTAAAATTTTCCAAGATCTGAAACTTGAGTGTTGACGTGACACTCAAAGGTCATGCTTAAAGGAAATGCTCATTGAAGTATTTTGGATTTCAGCTTTTTGGATTAGGGATGCCCAGCTGGGAAGTATAATATAAATATTCCAGTCTGAAAAAATAAAAAATCCAAAATACTTATGGTTCTAAGCATTTCAGATAAAGGATGCTCAACCTCTATTTTTTGTCAAAAGAAAAATTGATGAGTTTTATATAATTGGTCAGATACAAATAATGCTGATTTTCCAGTGTAGCAATTATAATGGTTAAATATTTGCTAAGTTAGGTTGCTTCCAAGTAATTAAAATTAATATTTAGAAGCAAAAAAAAGAACATAAGGATAAAAGCAGAGGAATCAAGACTGAGTCTTGTACTGTGATGACAGCTGAGGTGGAGGAGGGTAGAGGAAAAAAAGAAATGAGGAGCTAGCCAAAAAGACTAAGTCTCAGAGAAGTAGAAAACACTGAGTCTGGCACAGTTCCTGGCCCAAGAAGCAGTGCTCAGTGAATTCATAGATGGGGGACAACTGCATTCAATATCCCAGGAACCAAAACAGGAGGAAATTTTGAAGAAAAAGGGAGTGATTTTCACTGATGTAAAAAATGCTACAGGGACCGGGTGCAGTAGCTCACTCATGTAATCCCAGCATCTTGGGAGGCCAAGGCAGGTGGATTACTTGACATCAGGAGTTTGAAACCAGCCTGGCCATCATGTTGAAACCCCATCTCTACTAAAAATACTTAAATTAGCCAGGCATGGTGGCAGGTGCCAGTAGTCCCAGCTACTTGGGAGGCTAAGGCAGGAGAATCGCTTGAATCCAGGAGGCAGAGAGAGCCAAGGTCTCGCTGCTGCTCTCCAGCCTGGGTGACAGAGTGAGACTCCATCTCAAAGAAAAAAAAAGCTATAGGGAACAAAGTGTGATTTTAAAAACACACCTATGGATCCTGACAAGATTTAGAAGCATCCTTCTGGAGTATAAGTGGTATGGACAGTGGTAGCATTTTTTTTTTATTTTTGAGACAAGGTCTTGCTCTGTTACCCAGGCTGGATTGCAGTGGCATGATCATGGCTCACTACAGCCTTGACCTGGGCTCAAGCGATCCTCCCACCTCAGCATCCCGAGTAGCTGGGACTACAGACACACACCACCATGCCTACCTTAATTTTTTTGTAGAGATAGGCTCTTGCCATGTTGACCAGGCCGGTTTTGAACTCCTGGACTCAAGCAATCCTCTTGCGTCAGCCTCCCAAGTAACTGGGATTATAGCCACATGCGAAGACAAGATTTTTATTTTATTTTATTTTGCAGAGACAAGGCCCTACTATGTTGCACAGGCTGATCTAGAACTTCTGGGCTCAAGCGATCTTCCCGCCTCAGCCTCCCAAAGTGCTGGGATTACAGGCATGAGCCACTGCATCTGGCCTGATAGCATTCTTAGGAGGTAAAAAGGAGTAATACACTGACTTGATGGCTGCCTGGCTCCTCTCCCTTAATCAAGTTGGAGTTCTTCATCAGCTCCTTTAGTCACTGAGGAAACATCTTTTATTCTGGGCTCCAGGTCCAGTCTATGATATCCAAAAGCCATCTCTTTCCAGCCATCTTTGAGCACTAATTTTTTTGCTTTCCCTGCATTCCATCTGAAGTAAAAAAAAGACTACCCAACTAATCTTTGGAAAGGTATTCTTGTGATTTTTTTCTACTTATTATTTTCTGCTTTACTCTCTATCACCTTCTTTATGTTTTTTACCCACAACTATTATTTTAAAACAGATAACATATTTATGAAGTTCAAAAATCAAAACTGTAAAAGGCATACATTTAAAAGTCTCATTTCTTTGGCTAGGCACATTGGCTCACACCTATAATCTCAGCACTTTGTGAGGCCAAGGCAGGAGGCAGAGCCTCCTGCTTGAGCCCAGGAGTTCATGACCAGCCTAGGCAACATAGTGAGACCCTGTCTCTACAACAAAAAGAGTCTAATTCTCACTTCTGACCCCACTGTCTGTGTTCCCCCTTACCTTCTATAGGTAACTTGTATTTGTTTCTTATTTATCCTTTCAGTGGTTCTTTTTTGGGTTTTTTTGTTTTTTGAGACAGTCTCACTCTGTCACCCAGGCTGGAGTGCAGTGGCACTATCTTGGCTCACTGCAACCTCTGCCTCCCAGGTTCAAGCGAGTCTCCTGCCTCAGCTTCCTAAGTAGCTGGGATTACAGGGGCCCACCACCACGCCCAGCTAATTTTTGTATTTTTAGTAGAGACAGGGTTTCACCATGTTGCCCATGGTCAGCACTTGTTTTTATTTCAAGCAGCTGAGCCCTGGCTCAAGTCAGAAACATCTGACTCTTCAAATCTAAGCACCACATGTATGCCCTTGTTTTTCATTTTTTGTGTGTTATGCTACCTTTAAAACAGTAATTAGAAGGGGATAATCATCTGCCACCTGAATCCTGGTCTACTGCTACCTTTAAATAAATGCAAAACAATACTTTCTTTTCAAAAACATTTTAGTAGAGATGGGATCTCGCTATGTCGCCCAGGCTAGTTTCAAATTCCTGGCCTCAAGCTATCTTCCCATCTTGGCCTCTCAAAGTTGGGATTACAGGCATGATCCCCGTGCCTGGCCACAAAAAAATACTTTCTAAATAATAAATTACAATTAAGACTCATATGAAGGCATCAATGTATTTATATTAAAGAAACAGAAAAAAAAATTCAAAGTAAATAAAGGTAGGATGTGCATTTAGAATTTTACTTTTCTTCCAAATTTTAGATTTACAACTAAGCCTTTATTCCAGGAAAGAAAGAAAAGCCACTGTTACCACCGTATTCCCCCGCAAAAGTTAGAGCAACACTGAACACTTTCCTGGATAGTCCTGCACATGTTTTATTGATGATGCCCAAGCTTATCCCTGAACACTGGGGGAAGTGGGAAGACATCAAGAGATAAAGACAGAGGATGACAGATCTGAGAGGGACCAAGTGACTAACTTTCCTCTGCAAGCTCAAAGCAAGTAGTTGACTGCCTTTTCATTTTACCTCTGCCCCAGCATCAACAAACCACCACTCTGGCTTTATGCAACTTGTTTCCTAACTGAATAAAATAAGCCTGAATATGAAAACATATCCAAATAAAATTTAAGTCAGAAACTGCTGTGCTCTTACCTGTTTCCAATGAATACCACTGATGTTCTTAAAGCTTCCTAGGAGCCTCAATGGGCAGAAACCATAGTTACTATTTCAGTACAAAACAGAAAAAGTAGAGATTGTAGAAGGATTTTTACTCCAAAGCTAATCAAGGAGAGTACCTGAAAAGAGGAATTGCAGAAGAGACTAAAGTCTGATAGAATAGAATGAAGCACTGGATTGTGAATATTCAATAAAAAAAATTAAACATAGATCACATTACTGGACTCTAAGCTACTCTCTAGGAATACAAAGATTTCTAAGCCTTGATTCTAGAGCCAACAGTCTAGGCCAAGTCTTCTTAAACTTAAATGTGCATATGAATCCCCTGAAAATCTTGTTAAAAAGTAGAGGCTTGGCTGGGCGCAATGGCTCACACCTGTAATTCCAGCACTTTGGAAGGCTGAGGTGGGCAGATCGCTGGAGGCCAAGTGAGAAAGTAAATCGAGGCCAGGTGCGGTGGCTCACTCCTGTAATCCCAGCACTTTGGGAGACCAAGGTGGGTGGATCACCTGAGGAGTTCAAGACAGCCTGGCCAACCTAGCGAAACCCTGTCTCTACAGAAATTACAAAAAAAAAAAAAAAATTAGCTGAGTGTGGTGGCATACACCAGTAATCCCAGCTACTCTGGAGGCTGAGGCACCAGAATTGCTTGAACCCAGGAGGTGTAGGTTGCAGTGAACTGAGATCATACCACTGCACTCCAGCCTGGGTGACAGAGCGTCAAAAAAAAAAAAAAAGAGTCTTATTCAAGAGATCTGGAGTGGGGCCTGAAATTCTAATAAATTCATAGGTGATACTGATGCTGCTGGCCTCCTACAGACTACACTTCGAGGAGCAAGAGACACATGGATAAAGAAATAGAGTGAAGTGTTGCAGGTACTTGGAAATCTATACAGAGTACTATGTGAGCACCATGGCGGGCCTTTCTACCTGAAGTGTTAGAAAAGGCTTCATACTGGAGGGGAAGAATGAGCTGAGTCTTCTGGTAATCACGGGGGGAAAGTCAAGAGGTCTACATTATAGTTCAGTGACTGTGGTGTGAGTTGGACAGGCCATCTAAACTTTCTAGCCCTCAATTTTCTTTTTTTTTTTTTTTTTGAGATGGAATCTCACTCTATCGTCCAGGCTGGAGTGCAGTAGCACGATCTCAGCTCAGCACTACCGCTGCCTCCCAAGGTCAAGCGATTCTCCTGCCTCAGCCTCCCAAGTAGCTGGGATTACAGGCACATGCCACCACGCCTGGCTATCTTTTGTACTTTTAGTAGAGACGAGGTTTCACCATGTTGGCCAGGCTGGTCTTGAACTCCTCAGGTGATCCACCCACCTCGGTCTCCCAAAGTGCGAGGATCACAGGAGTGAGCCACTGCACCTGGCCTTGATTTTCTTTCTCATCAGTAAAATGAGGGATTAAAAATGTCCAGATCCTACATGATCCTAAAACCAGATTACTGTGAGACAAATTTTAAAATATTTACTATAAGATCTGTTTAGAAGTTAGGGTGAAATAGTATAAAAGGTTCTAGGCTTGGTGCAGTGGCTCACACCTGTAATCCTAGCACTTTGGGAGGCCGAGGCAGGTGGATCACCTGAGGTCAAGAGTTCAGAGCCAGCCTGGCCAACATGGGGAAGGCTCATGTCTACAAAAATTACAAAAATTAGTTGGGTTTGGTGGTGAGCACCTGTAATCCCAGCTACTTGGAAGGCTGAAGCAGGAGAATTGCTTGAACCCAGGAGGCAGACGTTGCAGTGAGCCAAGATTGTGCCATTGCACTGCAGCCTGGGCAACAGAGCAAAAACTTAATCTCAAAAATAAAATAAAATAAGGCCAGGTTGGTGGCTCACACCTGTAATGCCAGCATTTTGGGAGGCCAAGGCAGGCAGATCACAAGGTCAGGAGTTCGAGACCAGCCTAGCCAACATGATGAAACCCCATCTCTACTATAAAATACAAAAATCAGCTGGGCATGGTGGTTCGTGCCTGTAGTCCCAGCTACTCAGGAGGCTGAGGCAAAAGAATTGCTTGAACCTGGGAGGCAGAGGTTGCAGTGAGCCAAGATTGTGCCATTGTACTCCAGCCTGGGTGAGAGATCAAGACTCTGTCTCAAAAAAAAAATAGTAAGATTCACCTAACAGACCAACATACATTTGACAAATGAGAAAGTACATCAATCAATAGGAAAACTGCAGTAAATCTTAACAGCTTCTTGCACTTGTTTTTTCCTATTCAGTTGCCTGTTTGTGGCTGGGTATATAGCTTCACAGCTGAACTACTTTAAAAGAACACCATTTAGAAGTCTGTCTTTATTTGCAGCAATACATTCCAAGACCCTCCATGGATGCTAGAAACCACGGAGAGTATCAGACCCTATATAAACTATGATTTTTCCAATATATACATACATATATACATATAACATTTAATTTATAAATTAAGCACAGTAAGAGATTAACAATAACAAAATGGAACAATTATAAGAATATACTGTAATAAAAGTTATGTGAAGGTGGTGTCTCTCAAAATATCTTATTGTACTGTACTCACAGTATTTTGGGACTGTTGCTTGACCACGGGTAACTGAAACCACAGAAAGTGAGACTGCAGATAAGTAGGAAGACCTACTGTACTCACTTGGCTCAGCACAATAATGCTTAATATTTATAAAGTAACTTCCATTTTCAAGGCACTTTACAAACATCAGTTAATTACTTGTCACACAATTTGCAAGTTAATTTTCATTAGTCCAATTAGGAGTGGACCAGATAAAACTGAAAGAGTGAAGGTGGGCCCCCGAGAGAGGATTTGAGCCTGGGTGAGAATGGTGAGGCTGTGTATGATGCATGCTCACAGTTTTTATAGATGAGAAACAGCCCTCACCAGGAAAGCACTAAAACACTAGAAAAGGAAGAAATTGCCATTTCTGAACATCTTGCTGGAGCTTGCCAGTAAGAATCAAAATATATAAGGAAAGAGGTGAAGTATTATAAAGGCTTATTACCCCACCCCATCTACCAAAAAAAGAAGTGAACAGTGAATGACTTCATTTTCACCAGAAAGATTTCTATTACTAAAATTCAAATGAAGTTTCGCTTTCTTCATGTTGTAGTTTTAAGGGATAAAATATTTTCTATTTTGAAGGAGTGATAATACCCTAATTACAATACCTTCTCTTTCTACAGAGAACAGTTAAGTATGGCTGGGTGCAGTGGCTCATCCCTGTAATCCCAGCACTTTGGGAGGCCAAGGTAGGCAGATCACTTGAGGTGAAGAGTTCAAGACCAACCTGGCCAACATGGTGAAACCCTATCTCTACTAAAAATACAAAAATTAGCTGGGTTAGCCGGGCATCGTGGCACACACTTGTAATCCCAGCTACATGGGAGGCTGAGCCAGGACAATCGCTTGAACTGAGGATGCAGTGAGCCAAGACTCACTCATCACAGCATTCCATAGCGAAACTCCATCTCGAAAACAACAACAACAACAATAACAGTTAAGTATGTCCCTTTTAAATAAGAAAAACAAATTTTAGACATCAAGAATTTTCCAATAATTTGGCTGGGCGCAGTGGCTCACACCTGTAATCCCAGCACTTTGGGAGGCCGAGGTGGGCAAATCACCTGAGGTCAGGAATTTGAGAGCAGCCTGACCAACATGGTGAAACCCCATCTCTACTAAAAATACAAAAATTAGCCAGGCATAGTGGCAGGCGCCTGTAATCCTAGCTACTCGGGAAGCTGAGGCAAGAGAATCGCTTTAACCTGGGAGACGGAGGTTGCAGTGAGCCAAGATCACGTCATTGCACTCCAGCTTGGGCGACAAGAGTGAAACTCCATCTCAGGAAAAAAAAAAAAAAAGAATTATCCAATAATCCAGGCTGTCATTACTTAAAAAAAAATATCCAATAAAAAAAATTTTTGTTATTGTCTTGTGCATTTGTTTTTTCTCAATGCTCCAAATGCTGCAAATGTACATGCAGAACCTTTACAAAAATAATAAATGTTATTTAAAAAACTAATCAATCTGCAGTTGTTTCAGTCCTTCTGATTTTTGGTCTAGGAGAGGGAAAAGTTGGGTACAAAAGACTGGAAAATTTGTAATTTTAAAATAAGGTCCATTTGTATAAAACAAAGTATATCACTTTTTTTTTTAAATCTGGAAGAGAAAGATACCTAATTTTAGTAAGTATCCATTCATAATAAAATTCAAAATAAAATTCCTTTTAGCAAAGGGATCATTATATTGGAAATTCCTTAGATTAAAATAGGTTTTCCACTTCCTTTGCATTTCTCCAGCATCTTACACACACACACACACACACACACACACACACACACACGGAGCACAGCTCATTTCTCAACATAACATATAGATTACAGCATTTTACATTTAATATTTTAAAAATTACATCAAGTTTTAGCACATGTATGAGTAAATGCATGTTATAGAGTGCTCTTAGCGGTAAGTCATTTTATCAGTCCATTTCAGGTTGCTATAGAAGAATGTCTGAGACTGGGTAATTTACAAAGAAAAGAAGTTCTGGGCTTGGGTGTGGTGGCTCACACCTGTAATCCCAGCACTTTGGGAGGTCGTGGCAGATGGATCACTGGAGGTCAGGAGTTCGAGACCAGCCTGGCCAACATGGCTAAACCCGTCTCTACTAAAAATTCAAAAACTAGCTGGGTGTGGTTGCATGTGCCTGGTATGTAATCCCGGCTACTTAGGAGGTTGAAGCAGAAGAATCATTTGAACCTGGGAGGTAGACGTTGCAGTGAGCTGAGACCATGCCACTGCACTCCACCCTCGGCAACACAGCAAGACTCACATCTCAAAAAAAAAAAAAAAAAAAAAGAGGTTCTGTAGACTCTCTTAAACAAAAGAGGTTCTTTATAAAGAAAAGAGGTTCTGTAGGCTGAGAAGTTCAAGGGCATGGCTCTGGCTTCTGGTGAGGGCTTTTGTGCTACATCATAACATTGTGGAAAAGGTAATGGGGAAGTGGACATTAGCAAAGAGAGGAAACCCTGAGGGCTTTATAACCCTGCTTTATAACAACTCACTCTCACGGAGCTAATCCAGTCTCTCTAAAGACAGGACCAAGCCATTCAGGAGGGATTGGGATGCATAATTCAAACACCTCTCACTAGGCCCCAACTCCCACCACTGCCACACTGGGGATCAAATTTCAACATGAGCTTTGGTGGGGACAAACAGACCATATCCAAACCACTGCAGCCATTTTCATTTTAACATTTATTATAAATCACATTTTATAAACACTAGATAAATTACATACAAAAGCTAGACATAAATATACAGAAGCAAAACAAAAACAGCAGTACTATTAATGCAAGAGAAATAAGCTAATGTTTAAACACATATAACAATAAGTTACCAATTTTTCATTGCTAGTAATTTTTCATAAGTTCAAAAGCTATTCAGGAATGAAATGTAATATATTCTGATTACTATCAAAGTTTAGAATTATGGAAACAACCACCATAGCACTACTTATTTTTAAAATCGTTTCAAACATTCAGAAGCCAAATGACTGTCCTTAAAGACAAATTAAATGGGTAAAAGGTCTTATCTAACTGAAGAATATAAAATTTTAAGCTTTGGTTAATAGATACTAAGTTTAGTGGAAAATTTTAAATTAATGTCTCCCTTATATGTTATATTTCTGAGTTGTTGCTCAAATATCATAAAGAACTCAGTTCATAGCTTTGCATAACATTGCATTTTATTTTTGAAAAACAAAAAGTATCATTTTAAATAATAATGATGTTTAATAATACAATTATAACAGGATGTTGTCCCTTTAATTTAGCTTAACTAAAGGAAAAACTAATGCCCTCTGACCACTATTTGCAAAGATCATTTGAAAACTGTGATCAAAATTATATTAAACCTGTTGCCAACTTTAATTTGCACCTTATAAAATCACTGATTTTGTAATATTGAATGCCTTTATAAAAGAATTGAAATGTTGCAGTGCTAATGGTTAGCACAAGGCCAGGCACAGGGTGAGTGCTCAATATTACTGATAAAGTGACAATCTTTTAATATATTATTTCTGCACCTTAACATGCAATTCAATGTAGTAGTTATTAATTAACTCAAAAGTATCCAAAAACATTTTAAACATAAAAATACATTTTTAATAACAATCATAGGAATGTTTACAAGTGGTTATTTTCAGTCTTAGTTTTATCAAAACAGAATTAAATTTCAGATTCCTTTAAAAAATAGGCCTATGAGGGAAAGGATTCCCTGTTTAATAAATGGTGCTGAGAAAACTGGCTAGCCATGTGCAGAAAGCAGAAACTGGACCCCTTCCTGACATCTTACACTAAAATTAACTCCAGATGGATTAAAGACTTGAACATAAGACCTAACACCATAAAAACCCTAGAAGAAAATCTAGGCAAAACCATTCAGGACATAGGCATAGGCAAGGACTTCATGACCGAAACACCAAAAGCATTGGCAACAGAAGCCAAAATAGACAAATGGGACCTAATCAAACTCCACAGCTTCTGCACAGCAAAAGAAAGTCATTAGAGTGAACTGGCAACTAACAGAATGGGAAAAAATTTTTGCAATCTACCCATCTGACAAAGGGCTAATATCCAGAATCTACAAAGAACTAAAACAGATTTACAAGAAAAAAGCCCATTCAAAAGTGGGTGAAGGACATGAACAGACACTTTACAAAAGAAGACATATATGAGGCCAACAAACATATGAAAAAATGCTTATCATCACTGATCATTAGAGACATGCAAATCAAAACTACATTGAGATACTATCTCACGCCAGTTAGAATGGAGATCATTAAAAAATCTGGAGACGGCTGGGCGCGGTGGCTCACACCTATAATCCCAGCACTTTGGGAGGCCAAGGCGGGTGGATCACGAGGTCAAGAGATTGAGACCATCCTGGTCAACATGGTGAAACCCCGTCTCTACTACAAATACAAAAATTAGCTGGGCATCGTGGCGCGCGCCTGTAGTCCCAGCTACTCGGGAGGCTAAAGAGAATTGCTTGAACCTAGGAGGCGGAGGTTGCGGTGAGCCAAGATCGTGCCATTGCACTCCAGCCTGGGTAACAAGAGCGAAACTCCGTCTCAAAAAAAAAAAAAATCTTGGCCAGGCACAGTGGCTCACGAGGCCAAGGCGGGGGTTCACGAAGTCAAGATATCAAGACCATCTTGGTCAACATGGTGAAACCCTGTCTCTACTAAAAATACAAAAAATTAGCTGGGCATGGTGGTGTGTGCCTGTAATCCCCCCTACTTAGGAGGCTTAGGCAGGAGAATTGCCTGAACCCAGGAGGCGGAGGTTGCAGTGAGCCAAGGTCGCGCCATTGCACTCCAGCCCGGGTAACAAGAGCAAAACTCCGTCTCAAAAAAAAAAAAAAAAAAAATCTGGAGCAACAGATGCTGGAGAGAATGTGGAGAAATAGGAACACTTTTACACTGTTGGTGGGAGTGTAAATTAGTTCGACCATTGTGGAAGACAGTGTGGCAATTCCTCAAGGACCTAGAAATAGAAATTCCATTTGACCCAGCAATCCCATTACTAGGTATATAACCAAAGGATTATAAATCGTTCTACTATAAGGACACATGCACAGGAATGTTCATTGCAGCACCGCTTACAATAGCAAAGACTTGGAACCAACCCAAATGCCCATCAATGATAGATTGGACAGGGAAAATGTGGCACATATACACCATGGAATACTATGCAGCCATAAAAAATGACGAGTTAGTGTCCTTTGTAGGGGCATGGATGAACCTGGAAACCATCATTCTCAGCAAAGTGACACAAGAACAGAAAATCAAACACCACATGTTCTCACTCATAGGTGGGTGTTGAACAATGAGAACACATGGACACAGGGAGGGGAGCATCACACACTGGGGTCTGTCAGGGGGAAATAGGGGAGGGACAGTGCGGGCTAGGGAGTTGGGGAGAGACAGCATGGGGAGAAATGCCAGATATATGTGATAGGGAGGAAGGCAGCAAATTACACTGCCATGTGTGTACCTATGCAACAATCTTGCATGTTCTTCACATGTACCCCAAAACCTAAAATGCAATAAAAAAATAGGCCTATGAAAGCTGATTTCCTAATAGCTGCTATATGTGATGTGGATGGCAGATTCAGTGCCTTCTCATAAGATCAACCTATCAACACCTCTTGAACCAATTACTTTAGATTACAACATACCACTTAAAAGAGTTTCCCCTGAAGACTGAATCTGTGCAGCTGAGGATTGGGTCCAAGAATGTGAATTTTTAAACAAGTAGCTCTCCTCTGCTTCCTGGTAAATTATTACAACCAGGTAGATTTGGGAAATAATGCTTTAAAGTAACCAAAATCAGTTTGTACTTGAACATTACTTGATATGAATGGCATACCTAATGAAAAATCAAATGTATCAAGCTTTTGGGTTTTTTTTTTTTTTTTTTTTGAGATGGAGTCTCGCTCTGTCACCTAGGCTGGAGTGCAATGGCACAATCTCAACTCACAGCAACCTCCACTTCCTGGCCTCCTGAGTTTAAGGAATTCTCCTGCCTCAGCCTCCCAAGTAACTGGGATTACAGGTGTATGTCACCACATCCAGCCAATTTTTTTTTTTGTATTTTAGTAGAGACGGGGTTTCACCATGTTGCCCAGGCTGGTCTCCAACTCCTGAGCTCAGGCAATCTACCTGCCTCAGCCTCCCACAGTGCTAGGATTACAGGTGTGAGCCACTGCACCCAGCCTGTATCAAGCTTTTTAATAATCTGCATAGCTTATCATCATGCCTATTTCTTACCTAAAAGTCACAAGGTTTGTTCCAGTTCTCTTGATAGCCCACGAGAGCTAATAAGTTATCAGCTTTTTGAAAACTGCTGGTGATTGGGCTTCCATAATTTTAGTATTGCATACACCTTTTCTTATGAGGAAGCAGAAGAGTCATATGGCAGTTGTATTAAAAAAAACTAAACAATGTGGAATTTATTCAAATAATCATACTGCTTACAAAGTAGTCTTTAAATAGCTATACCAACATCTGTTAGTAGAGTTGCTTGCCAAGCTAGTTATCAAATGCCTATTTCTTTAAAAAATTCAATTTACAAAGTATTATGTCAACTCCATGTGCAAAATCTCATTTGCACATGGAGGAAGCATTTATATAACTGTCATATGTGTACATAAAAATGTGCATAGGTTCATTCTAATTGATCAACTAGTAACAAATCCCTCTAAATTGAAAAAAGCAATGAAATGTAGTCTCAAAAAAATATCATGGAGCACTGAGGAAGGTTTAACTTATTAGAGATTTGAAAGAACATTTATGTAGGATTAAAATAATAAACTGTTAGCTACTTCTATTTTCTAATAAGAATATCATATGCAGAGAAACAAAATTGCAAGCTTATTAAAGTGGGTTAAACAGCTTTTAAGCTGATTAAAACTACTTAATTTAAAATGAATTATTTTTGAACCTCAAGTAAATGATGTAATATTCAACAATTTATTAAAAAATAAACTTCAACAGTTTTAGCATTAGTAAAAACCATTGCTAATACACAAAAGTATATTATCAAATTCTATATTCACAAGTTAGGAAAGGCTTAATACCAAGTCCTGGTTCCACATTGCATTTCATATTCCCATCTGTATATCAGCGAAGTTGTAGAAGCTGTCCACATCTCTAGATGCCGTCTCTTTGCTTTCTGATACAAACATCTATTTTAAATAGAAAATAAAATAAAAAGTAAGTACCAACTTCAGAATGCCAAAGCCCATGTTCTCCACAGAACAAAGTCCCAAGCTAATTATTCAAAAGAAGTTCAAGCACATCATTTATAATGACAATATTTAATCTGTAGATTTTCTTTAGAATTCATGTAATACAGTTTGAATAGCTATAATATGTAAATTAAGCTCTTTTGGAAGCACTTATATAATTAAAGTTTCTGCTTTCATAATACGTGAGTTGTATTTTATTATATCTGGACTTTTACAACACTCAATATTATGAAAGCTACTGAATAAGAGTCACTTAAAAAACTTAGTTTTGCCGGGTGCGGTGGCTCATGCCTATAATGCCAGCACTTTGGGAGGCTGAGGCAGGCGGATCACCTGAGGTGGAGTTTGAGACCAGCCTGACAAACATGGAGAAACCCCGTCTCTACTAAAAATAGCTTGAATCCGGGAGGCGGAGGTTGTGGTGAGCCTAGATTGCACCATTGCACTCCAACCTGGGCAACAAGAGCGAAACTCCATCTCAAAACAAAAACAAAAAAAACCCTCTTACTTTCTTCTATTTTCTAATAATAATCTCAGTAGTCTGAGCAGCAAAATTTGAGATTATCCTTTTCAAAGCTGCTAATATATTACTATTTATTTTATTTTATTTATTTATTTTTGAGATAGAGTCTTGCTCTGCTCTGTTGCCCAGGCTGGAGTGCAGTGGTGCAATCATGGCTCACTTCAGCCTAGACTTCTGGACTCAAGTGATCCTCCTACCTCAGCCTACCAAGTAACTAGGACTACAGGTACGTGTCACCATGCCTAGCTATTTTTTTTTTTTTTTTAACTTTTTGTAGAGATAGTCTCACTAGGTTGCACAGGCTGGTCTTGAACTTAAACTCCTGGGCTCAAGCAATCTTCTCACTTCAGCCTCCCAAAGTGCTGGGATTACAGGTGTGAGCCACCACACCCAGCCTACTATTTTTAAATAAACTATTTGCTAAACTTTTTTTTTTTTTTTTGAGACAGAGTCTCGCTCTGTTGCCCAGGCTGGAGTACAATGGCGCAATCTCGGCTCACTGCAACCTCTGCTTCCTGGGATCAAGCGATTCTTCCTGCCTCAGCCTCCTGAGTAGCTGGGATTACAGGCGCCCACCACCACGCCTGGCTACTTTTTATATTTTTAGTAGAGACAGGGTTTTACCATGTTAGCCAGGCTGGTTTTGAACTCCCAACCTCAGGTGATCTGCTCGCCTTGGCCTTCCAGAGTGCTGGGATTACAGGCATGAGCCACCTCGCCTGGCCTCTGCTAAACATTAATGAAGCAATACTCAATAGAACCCTTCTAAAGTAGCTTTTACAAATGTCAGCACGGAATTAGAGCAGCTGTGGGTTCTATTCTAGCTTAACCATAAACTAGCATATGATGCTGACAATTTGATAAACCTCTGTGGGCGCAGTAACAACACCTGTAAAATGAGACAGCTGGATTAGATATTCTCTAAATCATTCAGCTCAAAAAGTCCAAATTATAACCATTTTATCTCTGTTGCCTTTTCTATTCAATCTTCTATTTCCTCTCTCCCTTAGTACTACTGTGATAAAATGTGATCAAAGACAAAGGACTTTAATTTGTAAATTCAAGGAAACATAATCCAAATCAGATGACAAAACCAAAATGTCCTCCCAGATATTTATCAAAAAGTAGTCAATTACAGATTTGCTAATGGAAATCCTCTACATTTGGTTTTGGTTATTTACATCTGAAATTCTTAGATACAGCAACTTCATCAATATATTTAGAAAATGCTCACATGTGATGATTTCTGTATATACCTGGAGTTCAATATTTGGTGAAGCATTACTGAAGCAAGTAAAAATGAACCCTGGGCAACAGGATCATCCATCTAAAGACTATAATATTAGAAATAAAATATTTTCAACAAATCAGTATTTTTAAAATGCAAAGACTTGAAAAGACATTTGATGAGACTTTTTACTTTAGAAATTATATGCTATAGAAGGTTTTTAATAATTAAATTCTTATCTGTAACTATTTTATTTATTTATGTTTTGAGACAGAGTTTCACTCTTGTTGCCCAGGCTAGAGTGCAGTGGCATGATCTTGGCTTATAGCAATCTCTGCCTCCTGGGTTCAAGGAATTCTCCTGCCTCAGCCTCCTGAGTAGCTGGGATTACAGGCATGAACCACCATGCCTAGCTAATTTTGTATTTTTAGTAGAAACAGGGTTTCTCCATGTTGGTCAGGCTGGTCTTGAACTCCTGACCTCTAGTAATCCACCCACCTCAGCCTCCCAAAGTGCTGGGATTACAGGCATGAGCCACCATGCCTAGCCCTGTTTTGTAACTATTTTAAACAAAGTTTTAGTTTGGCAAGAAAAAAATAATTAGTTCCCAATTATTTATCAAAGGTACTAAAAATCATGATCTGACTTTTAAAAAAACACACACACAAAACAAAAATTCCAAGCAACATTAGAGACAAAAGTATCACTTGACTGTAAGGAAAAGGAGATGAAATGAAAGGTTAGATTGAAATACAGTCAATAAAATCTTGTACCTTGGTCCCATTGAATGTGTCGTTTATAATAAGTTGACATCCTTCTACAGCACCATCTCCATTAAACTCCAAAGCAATAACCGGACCTATAAGCAAACCCAAGAAGCATTTTCTTAACACAAATACAAATATATTCTAAATTTAATTTTTTTATTCTTCCTTGAAGAATCTCCAGCATCTTCTTCGAGGGTGAAAGAGAAGGAAGAGGAAAGCAGACAGATGGGACATATCACCTCAGCTGCTTCTTCCTACGCTAATCATAAAACAAATTAACACAGTCTCATAACAAGTAGCTTCAGTACTATTATAGGACTAGTGTCACATTTTTAAAGTGTTGTAAATAGTCTGGCTTTTCTGGTTCTCATTTTTCTATAAAAACCACAGAAATTCTACTCATTTAGGAGTATAAAAATAGTCGATAAAATAGCAAATAAGATCAAAAGCAATCCAAGTCAACATAAGTAGGTTTTGCCAGGCAGCCAGCCTTGCTTCCAGCTCTCCTACTTACCAGCCAAGTTCTAGGCCACCAATGATGAAGCTAAGCCAAATAGGAATTGAGGCCAGGCATCAAAAGTAATGACCATCATCTGAAAGTATTTTCCTTGAATGTGTCTTAAAGCTACATTCTAGAAACACAGACAAAGTTTTTATTTTTTAAATCCTTTTAATAGAATATTTGTGCCTTTCTCATATATTAATTTGAAAACATTACAAACCTCCTACAGTGAAGGAAAAGTCTTAATCTCCAGGAAATTACAAATTTATTGAAAGAAGACATAAACCCGTTAAACAAATACAAAACAACATAGAATAATGAAGTACTAAGTAATGAAATACTAGAGTGAATGAATATGAAACTCTAAATTGAATGTAAACATGTGCTACAGGACAAGACACAAGAATGAGAAAGAAAAGATTATACTACATTGGGCATCAAGATAACTGAAGGCTTGTGATTTTTTTTTTTCCTTGGAGGCTTGTGATTTAATACAGACAACAAATACAGAAAAGGCAGGATATAGCGGTCCCTCGGTATCTGTGTAGGATTGGTTCCACTGGATGCTCAAATCCCTTATATATTAATAAAATGGTATAGTATTTGCATATAGCTTATGCACATCCTCCTGTATACCTGATTAAAAATTTATTAAGAATTTTTTTGAGCCAGGCGCGGTGGCTCAAGCCTGTAATCCCAGCACTTTGGGAGGCCAAGGTGGGTGGATCACGAGGTGAAGAGATCAAGACCATCCTGGTCAAAATGGTGAAACCCCGTCTCTACTGAAAATACAAAAAAAATTAGCTGGGCATGGTGGCGCGTGCCTGTAATCCCAGCTACTCAGGAGGCTGAGGCAGGAGAATTGCCTGAACCTAAAAAAAAAATTTTTTTTTTGAGACAGAGTCTTAACCTGTTGACCAGGCTGGAGTGCAGTGGCACAATCTTGGCTCACTGCAACCTCCGCCTCCCGGGTTCAGGCAATTCTCCTGCCTCAGCCTCCTGAGTAGCTGGGATTACAGGCCTGCATCACTGTGCCTGGCTACTTTTTTTGTATTTTTAGTTGAGATGGGGTTTCCCCATGTTAGCCAGGCTGATCTTGAACTCCTGACCTCAGGTGATCCTCCCACCTCAGCCTCCCAAAGTGCTGGGATTACAGGTGTGAGCCACCGTGCCCGATCTAAAATTTGTTTGAGAGATAGAATCTCACGGCTGGGCACAGTGGTTCATGCCTGTAATCCTAGCACTTTGGGAGGCCAGGGCAAGAGGATCACTTAAGCCCTGGAGTTCAAGACCAGCCCAGGAAACAAAGCAAGTACCCATGTCTACAAAATATTAAAATATTAGCCTGGTGCAGGGTTGCAGGCCTGTAGTCCCCGCTACTTGAGAGACTGAGATGGGAAGATCACTTGAGCCCAGGAGTTTGAGGTTACAGCAAGCCATGATCATGCCACTGCACTCTAGCCTGGGCAACAGAGCGAGACCATGTCTCCAAAAAAAAAAAAAGGATAAAAGGATATAAGGATATGGAGTCTCACTATGTTGCTCAGTCTGGTCTCAAAATCCTGACCTCAAGCAATCCTATTGCCTTCACCCCTGACCAGGAGTTCAAGAACATTTTATAATAAAACATCTAACCTTACAAAAGAAAAGTTTAACATCTTAAATTTTCATTTAGAAATGTAAATGTAAACTCATGATCTTTTCTTTTCAAAAATACATAGTTTCTAGCGATGTCCACTGAAAAAGCCTAAAAGAAATGACAACCCAGTACCTAACATGTATTTCTAAATATCATTCTAAAATATCATTCACCACTAAAAATAACTAAGTCATCTTAGAAAAATAGATGATTCCATGTCTGGGCCAAGAAATGGATTAAGATCAATCTGGAATATTTTCTTCAGCCAAAAAGTAATAAAGCTACCAAAGGCCAGTGGGGTTATATCAAAAGGAAACAGAAGCCAGCCTGAAGGGGCTCCCAAAGGCCAGAGACATATAGTAAGATAGAAGGAATAATGACTCTAATTTATTAAAACATACTAAATATATAAAAAGTCATGAGTTCATAATGATACTTAGAAAAGAGAGATCCTCCTTACTACTAGAAGTTTTTAAGAAAAATAAAAAAAGAAGAGAGAAACAAAATTCACTGTATACCAATGGAGGTTGCTAGGGCACCAATTCACTACTCTGAACATTGATGCTTATTTTTCTCTTTATTTATTCTGCTTTTCTGACATGAGCATATTTCAAGTCAACCAAACAGCTCTGGCATACAAGAAGTTCTGTTAACATCTGTTAATAAATGCAGAGGTAGTGACAAGATTAGAAAGTAAGTTTGCCAAAAAAAGAGAAAGAAAATATAGAAAACGATCATTTTGCAACTCCTATTAAAATAATTGGTTCAGGCAACAATCATCGGTGGTTTTAGCATCCCACAGAGAAGACTGCAGGAAACTCTACAATAAAAAGATAAGGTCGTCACCATGTGAACCCACCCATTAATCTTAGTATCCCTAAAAGTACAACAATCAAACATTATGTGCCTTCTCAATTAGATAGGAAACAATGCCATCTATGTATTCCTGCTAAATAAATAAATAAACAAACCTGAATGTAAACAAGGCTTTGATCTAACTTCTAGTCTATAAGAAATGTGGAGGAACAAATGAAACAGCCTCATGAATACTATAGGACAACTGACCAAGCTTCTTTCCCAAGACAAAGGCAAGAAAGAAGGGGGGGGACACCTGTTTTTTATTAAGAGTGATATAAGATTAAAAAAACAACCAAATACAGTAAGTGGGTCTATTTTAGATCTGGATCAAATTAACTAAAAACACAAAGAATTATTTTAGTAAGTAGGTAAATTTGCATATGGACTGAGTATTAGAGAATATTAAGGAATTATTGTTAATTCTTTTATATGTGATAATGCACTGTAGTTATTTAAAACATTTTTTAAATAATGAAATATTTAGGGATAAGATGAAAGGATGAATCAATTTGATTAAAATGTTTTAGCAAACAATGAGATTATTGTTTTTTAAGTATGGCAAAAAGTTGATGAAACTGGGTCATGGGTACACATGGGGTCATTGTACTCTCTACTTTTAGTACATTTGAAAATTTGCAAAAAGAGTTTAAAAAGTATTTTAAACCAAATAAATATTGAACTAAAAAGAAAAAGTTGATAACAAATGTAGGGTTTCCAGTTTTGCAAATTAGAAAGTTTGAATTAAGGTAGAATATACTTTCATCACTACAAGGAAATACAGTGTGCGTGTGTGTATTTAAGTTAGACATTTATTATTAAAAGTTCCAGTCTTTCTATAAAGAACATGTAATCTAGAATTCAGAAATACAATCTTGGTAGAATTACTCAGGTATATAACTTGATTGATGTTCTTTGACTAGAATATGATAAACTTGCAATAAATGACCTAATAATTTTCCAGCAAAAAAGTGGGCAAGTGCATTCATTTTGATTAATGTGTGGATAATCTTAGATTTAAAAAGACTACAATGTTTTTCTTATATGCTTGGCATAGATTTGCAACTCAGTAGTACATGGTGTTCCTAGCAGCTGAAGACCTGGTATGCAGGGGAAATATGAGGGGTGGTGCTAGAAAACAGACATCTGTGGAATGACTCACATCCTCTTAAGTTAGGAGGATGGAGGCCTGCTTCATTAAGAAGCTGGGGGTCAGCTGGGGGTGGAGAGACCACTTAACAACATGGGGACCAGTCAGGGGAATCCTCTTATTTCTGCTTTGCGTATGAGGAAGGTAGAGTAGCCAGGTGAGTTTAATAGAAATCATGGAAAGAGTCTTATGAAGACTCTTTGTAAGTGTTAATAGGGATTTTATCAGCTTATTTTGGTTGCAGTTTCCAATTTCAAAAAATGTTTAGGTAATCTTTTCCACCTCCCCAAATCCTAATTCTTGTAGATTCATTAGTGTTGAACCAATACTTTCTCATGTCTCAATTCTTTGTTTATGCATTCTTTTCAGATGTATTAAACAAAAACCCTTAAAAAAAACTACAATGTTGATAATGCACTTGCTAAGCACTCCTTCTATCTAATGATGACAATTACTGTGATTATTTCTAACTGAACTATGAGATCAACAAGGATTACTGGTCATGTTTTTAGTGTTTTAATATGTACATCTTATTCAGATAGTTCATAGTAGCTTTAGATCTAAGTATTTCAGGTGTCATGAAAAATTGTGAGACTCTGAGGTAGACAGAAAACATTTCTGGATGTCTTATCTAGTGAACCCTTCTGAGTTATCTAACATGACCTTGGAACAGGCCACTATGTCTCAATTAGATTACTTCAACAGCCTCCCAGCTTGTCTCTGCTTCCCCATTAAAGCAGCCAGTGACAGGATTTACATTTTAAAAGGAGCATGACACTCCTCTGCTCTAAAATTGCCTATAAAGTATGATCTATATTTTTATTTTTAATTGCTCTAAAAATAACTGGCAGTTCAGGTCAGGCACAGTGGCTCACCCCTGTAATCCCAGAACCTTGGGAGACTGAAGCAGGCAGACTGCTTTAGCCCAGGAGTTTGTGACCAGCCT